CTTTTCCAGTAATAAAAAGAGTTGAGAGAGCCAATATAGTGAGTTGGGTGGAGCAGGTAATAAAAATGTAAACATAACAGTTAAATTGCCATTTCACAGAGTTACACGCATAGCGAAGGAAATATAATATAATGGAATAGGAAGCAACAGGAGTGTAGAGAGCTAATTGTGACAAGGTGGTCAGAAATGGCTTGAGGGAAGGATGCGAAGGGTCAACTTATGTTTAAATCTGCAGGAAACACATTTTAGGCAGAGGGAAGAGAATAACTTTTTCTCTCTTTAGGATTATACTGGCATTATTAGTGTCAAAAAGTACACAGTTGAAATAAATAAACATTATTTCATGTTAGTTAAGCAATAAAGGATACAAAATAATTTTAAAAGGATTTTCTCAATGCATTTTACTCAGATGAAAACTGAAATTACAAACAAGAAAGGGATCACTTGATTCTGTAAGTAAAAGGAAAGGATAGGAGTACTGGGGATAAGAAGAAAAATATTAACTTTTTAATCTGCATTTTCTTCCTGAAGAAAAATGAAATTACAGGCCATGAAGATATTTTATATATTAAACTGCTGAAGCAAAGCAGTCTTAACTGAGCGATAAAGAATTACAAAGCTATTAAGAGAATAACTGAGAATATAGTCCATTACTAACAGGTAGATTCAGTGAGTTAGAAACAACAAAGCCGAGCAATAAATACATATAATTCTAGAATAAGCTTTGTCTGTGAGCAAGTGAGTCAGGAGGAAGCTGTGACCTATCAGAACTCCCACTAGGGTCACGAAGGAAAGGTCCTGTTCGGTGTCCTATCATTGTGATGTCAGGCTCTCATTAGCAGCTCTGTCAGAATATTAAATGACAGCACAAGTAATTTTCTCAACAAGATATTTGGTTCTATTGCTATACTTATGAGAAAGATTTCAAAATAACTTAATGATAACCAATTATTGATGACTATTTCAGTGATTTGTAGATGACAGACACAGCAATTGTTGATTTTTTTCTGTATTAATAAAACAAGAATATATCTAGTGCATCATAGCAGAGTCTCCTAAAGCCTTCCCTTTTTGGAATGAGCAATTGTATGTGGTCTAATTCCCTTGATGAATAGTCAGGAGAAACATGTATCATCAAAGTAGAATTGTCAAGTAAACCTAACAGGATAATATTTTATTGGGTAAAACCATAGATGAAAACATAGTAAAATAAATAAAATAACATAAAATAAAATACTTGATACTTATTCAAGTGAACCAATTGGATAAATACAGAAAGGGGACATAGTGCTGACTTGTAGTATTATCTAACTACTTACAGCCTAAGTAAAGAGCATTTTGCAACTGCCTGTAAACTTTGACTGTAAGAGTGACAAAATGATTGGCACTGCCACTGAGTGAGAGAGGCTTAGTTTGTAGGTCTTAGTTTGGGCCACTATTAATACACAGAAAGACAGTGAGGGGAGGGGGAAATAGGAAAAGAAGGGAGCTCTACCCTTGCCATAGAAGAAAGCAAGTATATGCCTAGCTTGCAGAAATAACTTTAAAATACCATAATTACTGTATATAAATTCTCAGAATTCAGATAAAGATGATTAACACTTGTGCAAGAAATTTGCAAGTAATTAAAACCTAACAGTTTCCTCTGTCCACTTTATAGCTGTGTGATCTTGGCCAAGTTGTTTAATTGCTAAACCTTATTTTGTAAATAAAACCTATTTCATTATATCATGGGTAGGATTCAATCAAATAATACATATAATTGATATAAAACTGTTGGAACATCTTTTATGAAATTGGTAACTCTATCATATTTTTAGTATATTGCCATGCAGTTAAAATATCTGATAATCAGAAAAATTCAATTTACAAAAGTGTAGACAGATTAGAAGATAACCGTTACTGGTTTTATGTAGAATGGAGTATTTAATAGTTAAAGGAAAATTCATTTCATAAGTAGCTACTTCAGTAGTGAATATTTTTTGTTGTGGGAGTGTTTCGCTTAACACTGCAATGACAAGGATTTAATAAACAAATACGTAGAAAACAATAACCATCCATACTTCACACTAGGATACAAAAAGCATAACGTTATTTTGCACAATATGAAAACATTTAAATTATGAAAGAGTTTGGATAAGAATAGAGATTATTAGGAAATAAGTGTGAAAATTATCACCAACCCTTTTTTTGTCTTGGCTAAGCTTAGCATAAGCTCCCAGAGTAACTCATCTGTGTAATGTCAAGCCTGGTTCTGAAATAAAGCTGGAAAAGTCAATAGTAAAAATTTTCCATCTATTGTTGTCACTTATTTTCCAAAAATCCCACAAAAATATCCTCTGTCTTTAGCAATTTCTATACAGAAAATTCATTAAGCTATATTTCAAAAATCTTCTAAAATTTTTGTATTTTTTCAAGGTTATCCCATTTTGGGGATAATTTTAGGGATTTAAGGCATTCTTTGTGGAAGATAGTATGATAGAATTTACTGAGTCATTTAAAATTTTTTTAAATCCTAAATAATCAAACTTTCTTCAAATTTTACATATTGGTGTTTTTTCCTTTTATTATGCACTATCTACTATCTCGCAAACTTGCTGTCATCTTTTGATATGACATACAGAAGTAGGCCCATTGCAGATGTGACCATAGTTTATGTGTCCTATGTTATGTTTGATTCAATATTATGCCTGTGATAGATTATCCAATAATTTTTCCATGCTTACAAAATTCTACATGTCTCATTTCAATTAGGAGAAAAATTGACACTTTTTAAATGTTCTTTGAGATGTAAATGAAAAGCTAAAACCAGAATCTTGAGTTTTTCTCTTAACCCTCATACTAGATACATATTTGTAAATTCCTTTGCTAGTATAATGTAGGTGGGCAGCATGCTTATTCAATCATTGATTAGTTATTTCTTATTGGCCAACAAAGATTACAAATACATTTACCAATAAAACCTTGATACTAACACGGTTTTGTCTTTTGAAATGATAGCCTTCTATTTCATGAAGTTAAAAAAGAATCATGCAATGGAATCAGAAGTTCAGTAAACGAATGCAATCATCCTCGTAGTTAGATTAATGACTGTGTAGTAGTTAACTTATGTTCACTGTGAAGGTCACTCGATATCATTTATCTCGGGCAACAACTATACATCAAAGTTGTGTTGAAATGTAAAACACTTAGTGAAAACTAAGGCTTCAAAATTTCATAAGATTTTACTGAATCTTTCTTTGTAGCTTATGACATAATCAATGTTTGTCAATTTTCTGATGTGCTAAACACAATAGTCTGTGCTTGTCTTTTAAACAATTTTGTTTTCACATCTTTGTAATTTCTACCTTATACATCATTTCATTTTGTCTCTGCTTCTAATATTTTTGCTAAACTATTGCAAATTTCACTTCATTGATAAATTAATCTTTAAGAGTCAAAGTACTGACCAATTTTGTTGTCCCTTAATTCTTGAACAGTTCATTCATTCCTGAACAGCACCACTCAAGTGCTTTACATGTGTTTTATTTTGGTCTGGTTTTTGGCTATACAAGATACCCAATAACCCCTGTCCTCAAATTACTTTTCTTCATAGTGCAATTGAAAGTGTACACTGCTGAGAATGTTCCATCTCTGTTCCTCTTTAATGCTAGATAGCCCTCCCAATTTTAAATTACCTTATTTTCCTCTAATTTACTTTAGCATTTTATCCACATCTATATTTACTCTTTAAGTGGTACTTATAAAGACAAACTATTTACATTTTAAGCAGAAGTTGTATCAGAGAAATAGGTATTTCTACTCTCTTCAGGAAAACCCTAGTGGATGGCCAGGGTACCATGCGTCGTGTTCCTTACAAGGTGGGCCCGCCATCTAGTGACACCTCCACCACACTGCAGGGCCTGTCTCACTGGGAAGATCCCTCCCTCTTCAGCCTTTACTCAGCAAAGATGTCAAACTGATTTTTACATATTCCTGATCCAGTGCTCCAAGAAAGAAATATTTAGCATAAAATCAAGCATGAACTCTAATTTAGGGTTGATTTTATGGACGTGTTTTGAAGACATTGGTGCATCTGAAAGTTTCATTTATAAGTACAAAAATCAGCGATAAGTATGGATTCATTCTCAACGCCTTTAGCAGAGCATGGAAAAACTGGATAAATCTCTGAGACAGTGCTAAAGGTGAGTATTCTCCTGGAATGGCATAATATATTCAGCAGAGTAAAAATGAAAACCATAAATACTATCTAGTGGAAGAAGCACAACTGGGAACTGGATAGTTTATTATCAGCTGATTATAAATTTGGATCACAGTAACTCTATATTCTGATTGACCATTACTGCATGGTTGGAAATATAAGAAATTACATGAGTATGAAAGGCTATTTAGACTTTGAAAAAGAGCCTTCAGCTGCAACATGTCAGATCCAATGAATGAGATGGATGAGGACACTGTCATTTTTCAACAGCCTTGCCTGGCCATCGGACAGCACTGGGCAGCAGCCTTCACGATATTTTTGGCCACATATTGCAAAGGGGAGAGCTTTTAGAAGTGCTTCACAGAGTGGAAAGAATGGTAGAGTGCATTGGAGCTACAGGAAGAATCTTCAGGGAGATTAAAATCAATGTATTTTTACTGTTATCGTTTTTAAAATTTAGCCATTCACTGTGTATTTTTATTGTTTCTTATACAGGTGCTTAGCCTGTGGTAGGGACTCAAGACATAAAAATCACTATCTCACTATCCTTTAATCTTAATTATGTGTATTGAGATATATACTTTATTTCAAATTTAAAGACTTTTATTTCTAATTTCTTAATTTGTTTATTTTCCACAGTATAGAGTGCAGGTATTCATAGCACTGACTTAAACACTCACTAAAAGAGTACATGTCTATCCAGTAAAAACGTGAGCAAAAATTGTAAAGTAGATTAAGTCATAAATTCTATTTACTGTATTTTGATAGTATGCATAAAAAGTAATTTTTTCATACTTACAGCTTTCCAGTTGCATTATACATGTTTGTACATCCATTGGAAAATTTTTAAGATCCATTGGGCAGGAAAGTGTTAACGTTAATCTGAAAGAATTCAAAGTAATTATTTTTAAGGAAAATTTATAACATCATATGAATTCTCAGTTGCTTAGCATAAACCTTGTTGCTTTGGTAGTGACTAAACATCCATTCGGATGACATTTTCTCTGATTTAGGTATGAAGAAATAGCCATAGCTTTATTCACCAATGTAGAGTTTTTTTAGGGGCGTAGGCCGAGAATAGTGTTTATTTATACATTGATAATTTATTTTTAAATTCCATTAGACAGGACCATGACTGTCAGAGGAGCACAGTTTTAAAAAAGCAGTTAAAAGAGACAGATTGAGGGTGGTTTCCATAAAATTAATAGTGTCAAAAGATGCATTTTCCACTAAATTCCATTAGCAGATCTTTAAGAGGGAAGTGTACAAGAGGAATTGGACTGCTAAATGTAGGATAATTGGGTACAGAGAAATGATCCTCTATGACAACTTTATAACTGAGCAAGTTGCCAGTGAATAGCCAGCAGTCTTTACTGGAGTGAACCTGGGAGCTTGAAAATGCAGTCAATAGAATCCGGTTCCCAGTTTGCAAGCAGAGCACTTCACTAGGTCTCATCAGTTAGGAAACAAACCCTCTAGTGTCCGCGATATAATTCTACGTTGATCAAACACTTCCTATTTTACTAATATAAAGCTTAACCTAGATAGTAGGCTCTGCTCATTGCAAAGGCTTTTTTTCCATTTTGGGAGGGTTTTTGTATGTTGGTATATTGTATGTTGGTATTCCAGATAATTAATCATTCTTGAAATATTTTTTATTAGAAATGTGTATTAAGCTGGGGATATAGCTCAGAGGCACAGTGCCTGCCTGGCAAATGTAAGGTTTTGAGTTTGATTTCTAGTACCAAAAAAAGCGTATTACCAAAATTGTTTGGGGGAGTAGGAAAAGGAGACAAGAAAAAAGAGGAAGGGCAGGAGAGGCAGATACAACATTCTTCAACTAAGCTTCCTTTCTGAGAGCTCTCTAGACAGCCTCTTAACCTCATTTATTAAAGCATTTATACTGAAATTCAGTGTTACTGTGTATCCTAAGTTGATTAGTTTGCCTAAACTTTGTGACCTCATGCATAGTACTTCTCATCTGTAAAATTAAGTTAATAATAGTATTCTCTGTAGAGTTGCTGGGAGTAATGCATGCATTGATAAATATATAACATGATTGGACAAGTGCTTGACACATAAGAAATAATCAATAAATATTAGTTATTAATGATTAGTGGTAAATTCCATAGCTCCTAGACTCCCTCAATTTACTCTCTCCCAAATTCTGAAGTTTGGGCACAAAGAAGAATGAATTAAATCATACATAAGAATTATTTAAGCTTTGAGAAAAAATTCTACTCAATATAACTTCATTCTTCAAAATGTCATTTTTATGTCAATCACAGACATAAAGTTATCTTGATTTGTATTCCACAGTGAATATCTTGGTGACTTAGGTCTAATTAACATAGTTTGAGAGACATAAACAGACAGACAAAAGGAGCTGCTGAATTTTAAGTGTCCTTGGAGGATCCTTTGGTAATTCATTTGGATCAGAAGCTGTGACACAAAAATAATACATAGAGTTCAATATTCAAATTCCGTTTTCTTCCTGATTCTCCAAGGGTAAGCCATCCTTTGACTACTTGTGTATATTTACAAAATTCTCTTAAAAAGGCAGCTGTAAAATTAAGTGGGCAGTGTGTTCTCTGCCTCTTAAAAGATTTATTAGAGGAATATGTGGACATATGTTTTGTAATGTTCACACAATTTTCCAAACACCCAAGGCTTTCAGCCAGCTAGCTTCAAACACCTGCTTCTGTGACCTTTTGTGTGAAAGTAAGTAGAATTCTCAGAATCCTCTCCACACTCTCACCATGCATGTGATGTCAAATTCATACTCTGGCTATGTTTTTGGCATAAAATGAGAGTCATTATGTAATTCTTAAAAAAATACTACTTGAAAGGAATTATTTGGCAAAGAAAAACGGAGTTTGTAGAATTCCTGTAATAAATCATATCCTGAACAAATCTCTGTTTGTTGACTTTTTTTCAGGATACTATAAGATTGCTTCTTTAACAGAATATTAATTAAAAGTATTTGTCAACTTGGTACATGTGATACTAAATTTCTTCATCAAACATTACATATAAATTGAAGATATGATTTGACCACATCAAAAGACAACTAACCCAAGAGACAATTACTCATATTCTACTGTTTTGAAATGGATGTTTTCTTGTGAAAGAAGGACACAAAGTTCCTTTTCCTGAGACAAGACACATAAACAGGATGTGGCGTTTCTTATTTTTCCCTAAGAAATCTTGGCTGAGTGAGGTAGTGATGCTTTAAAAACTGAATATCATCTAGTGTGACAGTTGACATTATTAAAATTTTATTACTGCATTAAAAAAAGCATTGCTCATAGTCTGATATATATCTCAAACACTAATTGAGTTTTAAAATGTGATCTAACTCCATCGTAGACTTTTTATGAAACAAAAAAATCATCATTCTAAATTAGAACATTTCTAATATTTCTAAATTTGGTATAATAAAGATAATAGTATGCTAACTAGCATTTAATATCTTGACCTATTTTCTGTAATATCATAGTAACTAATATTTTATAGTGCTTAGTTTGTGACAGTAGGCACTCTGTAGTAACTTATTTATCCTATACTATATTTTAAGAGGCAAGTAAACAATATTATGTTATTTTACAGAGACAAAAAGTTAGAAGTTAAATAACTTCCCTCGCAATACAAAGCAGAAATTATTAGAGAAGAATTTGCAGCACTGGGAGTATAGTTCTAGTGCTCTTAATCTTTAGACTCTCAAAAACATTGGAACATTTTTCTGAAAAATAGTTAATGAAGTCACACATATTTTATATTTTGTATTTGTGTCTATTTATGCCATTAGTTATTAAAATGTGAGTTAAATCATACATAAGTAACAATTTTTCCAAAAGAAATTAGAGAAATGTCATTAAACTTAAAAAATTTCTCTAACATTTTGTATATTTGAGCAATTCATTTTATCATGAATTATTTTATAATTAATAAATATGTCATAGAAGAGGGAAGAATAATAGAGAACTAGGAGGAAGATTAGAATTACTCTCGATGTACTAATTCTGGAGATTTGTTGTCATATGACCTGGAAGGCAAGCATAAATATTATCAGCTCAAATATATTAGCAAAACAACCTCAGCACCAATGACAGTCCTCAGGAATCTGAAAAGAGTAAAATATAGCACCTCAGAAAAATATACAATTACTTTCATGCCAAATTTGGCTTACAACATGTATTTTATAACAATGCAAATGAATTTCCCTTGACCGAACAGAATTTTTTTTTAAAGTCTTACAAAATAGTTTGATTCGCTGGGTTAAATATTGTCTGTCAACGTTCAAAAATTAAAATGCATTGCACAAATATATTTTTTAATCAAATTTTAAAATTATTTTAGCTTAAATAAAATTAGAATTATTACTACAATCTTTGAGAAGTTACTATACATTATGTGTTTGACACAAACTTTCTTCTTGCTATTTTATTTTTAAACCAGTAATTTTTCTGTAATAGAAAACTGAAAGCGTTAGTTATACCAGTCAAGTAAGGAGTATATAATGTGACTACCTATAATATGCTTCTGGGATGTTATGATAATTATCTTTTCATCTCCATTTTAGAGGTGAGACTTCTAAAACTGAGGCTACTGTAGAGACTTGGAAGAGACCATTTAGTGCTGATTTGTAGAAAACACTAGAGTGTATATGGTTTGTTTTCTTTTTTGGAAAGATGAGAATACAAACTAGTATGTGTTACACCCCTGTCACCATGCTAAATGTTTTATATTTACTATTTCAGGTTTAAAGGTATTAGTATTATTATATTACACAAGGAAAAATGAGTCTTTCAGAAGTAGACTTCTCCAAATCACAGCTGATAACTAACAACACTGCAAAGACCTGATATTGTTTTAAAGGAGGCATTCCCCCTCCCCCAATTTTTCTAGGAGTATATATTTGGAGTACATAATGATTACACTCATCCTGGGAAGTTGATATTATACAAGATACATCTCTTTTTCATTCCTTTTTCCTGTCTTCCTTCCTGAGGCATTTCTTAAGATGGTTTATTCAGGTCCTAATTTCTAGAGATGAGGCAATATTGTGCACGTGAACCATGAGAAGGCTGATTTAAAGCAGTGAGTTCTCCAGACTCTGTCTTCCATAGTATGCTACATTCACTTCATTGTGTTGTTCCAAGACTGGAGAACAAAAGAGAAACAAAGCAAATATGTTCATATTCTTGCTGCTTACTTTCACTGAGTAATGAAATCCTGTTTCTCTGGCTCAGCGGGAGCCTTGCATCTTCTATCAGCATCTATGAAATAGACACAGACTGACTTTAAAACCAAGGTAAATAAGATGCCAAACTTGAGAATCTGGAGTCATCTGTCTGGCCTGAAACCCCTCATTTGAAAAGTGTTCATTTAAAATGAGATTTAAATTAAAATCATCATAATTTAAAAGTTCAAAAAGTTTTATAAAACATTGAAAAACAATTTTATGCTTGTTGCGTTCATTATTACAGCTGTATCTCCTTAGAGGTAACTATTCTTTAGCTGTTTGTCTACCATCTAAGATCATAGATGCAAGATACTGCAATATCATTTTGGCTTTTAATAGATATGAAATTACCATTAGCTTCCTATGGGAGAAATATAGAAACTTATTTCCCTTATATCACATTCCATAAATAGTTAGCCCTTCATCAATTCTCAAATTATTATACGAATATTCATAGTTAAATACTGAATGTTTACTTGTTAGGAATATGTAATTATTTATAGTTGAGCTTGTAGTTTACTATAATTATTGTCTTTATATAACATTTTATTTTCTTTAAAGTATTAATGTGTCTCAGTTTCTATATTCTAACTAGTGCTTCAAACACCCCAAGGTCTAAAGGTATATTTTCAGGATG